TCAGCCAAATTAGAGAAATAAAAATCAATTTATTAAATTTGTTTTCGTAAATTACTATCAGTTTTGAGTTACTCAACAATGGTAAGAGGTTTTGTTAGTTGTTTGTAAACGTCCTTTGTAATTTCTGGAGATTTTGATCGCGCAACTTGTCATTTTATTCAAAATAATATAACGCAAAAAATGAGCAACAATATTTCCGTTAAGCTATAAATTGATCTAAAGTCAGATCGAGAGTAGGTTTGTTAGATTAACCTACGAAGGTAAAAGGTGCTCCAAAACTGTTTTTGATTGCATAACTACCGATTTGGGCCATGTCTGGCAACGTGCCACCATAAGAAAGACATTTAATTGCTCGTAGTTTAATAATATTGGAAAGTCGCTAACAGTATGTAAGTCAACACAAATGCTTCAGTTTGTTATATTTATATACAGTTTAAAAATTTATTCATTTATTTATATCCAATCAGACATAAAGTGATTCTTCCTGTCATCTATTCAAGAAATAGTTTTTAAACAGTATTCAGGTTTGAATGTTTACATTTTGAAAATTATTTATATAGTTATATTTTTTTTATTTATTCTTAGAAAGAGTGTTACATTATTTACATTTCAAACTTTGCCAAACTGTAAGCCACTTTGTCGGCAACGCAACAGTTTATCGTTTCACACTCCTTAATCTACATCTACATCTACATCTACGTCTACATCTACATCTACATCTACATGCTATTATAAAGAGGAAAGATTTGTTTGTTTGTTTGAATTGAATAGGCTCCGAAACTACTGGACCGATTTGAAAAATTCTTTCACCATTAGAATCCTACATTATCCCTGATGAACATAGGCTATGTAATATTTTTAACCCTAAGTGTGTACACACATAATTAAAGAAACTTTCACTACTAAGGACACAACGACAGGTAATGTTTCCTCAAGATTGTTTTGAGCTGCGACTTAGTTACGTTTTCGTCATAAATACCCGCCACCTCATTACACAAGGTCGGAGTTATCCATTGCCTTGTACGTCGTCCAAAGTAGTTTTCAACCCTAGGTATGAGATATTTCCTCCTTTGTGTAACTTGGCGCTTCGGCATTATATATGTCTTAGGTTTCTTAAATGTTACCATACCATGCTGTTCTAATATGATGATGGATTTTACTTTCTTGTCTATGGGAAGAATTTTGCAAATTTTAAATAACATTTCATAATTTTTATCTATGGCATTTTGGTTTTAGGTTCAACTAATATCATTAAGAATCTTATAGGTTCAACTAATATATGCGGTCTATTTTGACGATACTATGACCAGAAGACGGTGCGTTGTTCTCATGCTTCTCGCCAGTGCATGGCCGAAATCCTATCTTGTAAATATAGCGATAAGGTTCCTTTTTACACGTTTACATGTTATACGCGATATATATGGCGTCGATCTGATTGGATAGGCATCCATCACGCAGATGCATGCGTTGTTATTACCGCGCGAATTATTGGGTACGACTCCGGGATCAACCACGACGACAACTCCGACGATCAAGTGGTGCTCCTCCAAAACGGTATTAGTAACAAGTGGGACTAGATTCAAGGCTTCGCTATCGTTGCCGTCCAGTTCCACGACCACGACTAGCAAGTTTGTCCAGGTGAAAACAGCACTGAGGAAGCAAAAATGAAACAAACAAATTATTTCAAAAGCAATATATTATATAATATTTAAATATATAATTTGCCTATAAAATTTCACTGCTGAATATAGCCCCCCCCCCATTGATTTCCGCATAGAGATAATATTTCCAAGCCATTTAGGTCACAGACTCAAATGAGCATACAAACATACACCCGAAAAACATTATCATATATCTGGGCAGCAGTACAAAAAGTTATATTTACAAGTGTGACAAGCTTTACACAGACTTTATATAAAGTAAAGTAATACTAAATGCTGAAATATATAAAGATGATTTCTGTGAGAATTCTTTCTTCTTTGGGCCTTGTCTAAATCGTCAATCATCACCATTAAAGTCCATCACAAAACTACTGTTCAACACAATATATACTCGTAAGCCAAGTAATATAGAAAGCACGGGCTTAAGACAGATCGTCGGATGTCCATTTAGTGGAGTCATGCGTGTCATGTATATCTGATGCCATGCCATCACTGTCTATTACCGATGCTGTATCACTATCTCTTGACAGGAGCGACTCATCACAACTCATTCCATAATGTGAAACCGTAAATCTTATCTAATATTCCATCGATAAAATATGGCAAAGCTGATGAACAAACAACATTGCCTCAGTTATCTCGGCAGGTAAATATTACGAGTACAATTACTCGCTGCAGTCTATATATACATAAAACACTACATTTTTAGGAGCAAGTGCCGATGGTATTTATAAAAATAAAGAGGGAAAAACGGGACTAATAGAAATAAAATGTCCATTTTCCGCCAAAAAATATGCAATCTGAAGAATCTGTTCAAGCGAAGAAAATAAAATTTTGGAAGTAAAATGCAAAAAAGAACACTTTTTCGGTTAACAAAAACCACGATTATTATTTAAACATTACGGAGATGGATATGTGCTTATTAGCCATATGGACTGAAGAGGAGCATTCGATGAAAATAGAATATGTTAAGGGAGACTGCGTTCTGGCAGAACAAAATGGTAGGCCCATTGTATTATGAGGCTACAAAAATATTTATGCTGTTTGTTCGTGATTTAAATACATTTGACGGCTCCGTGGCGCAGTGGCTTAGCAACGAGTTGCAGCGCTAAGGCGTGTTCGAATCTCACACTGAACAAGTATTTGTACGGCCTACAAATAATTGTTCCCGGTCTGAATGTTTGTGAAAGTCCTTGTGAAATTTATGTATGTAAACTGCCCCCAAGATACACGAGAAAACCCTAGTGTGGAGCTAACGTTTTTTTTAAATAAAAACTAATAAGACTAATAAACTAGAGCAACACGAGCACTGCACTTACGCGGCGGACCGGACGGGTGTAACCATAGCGGTTTTTCCCGATACAGAAATGTCTGCCTTTTTTTACGGGAGGAAACACACACATATAAATTAAAACAATAAACTAACAATTTCGCACAGACATAGATTATAACAGTGTCGCTCGGTGACAGCGACAACTCGGATACATACTCGGATCAGTCGCTCGACCGATCTGTATATTTTAAGACATCAATTCAGCCGCGCAACTTAATTTAGTCTAGAGAACAGTGCAACTGAAACTAGTTTAATTGTACGTATAGGACCGCATGGACTTATACTTTGAAAGAGGGAAACGCTTGCGTATGGCGACTCCCTTATGGTCTGCCGGTGGCCCGTGTTGTTCTATGTTTACAGGCATATGTACAATATAGAAATTTAATTTAAAATACAGGAAAGCTTTAATACCTGAATGAATTTCCCTAGGTTTAGGTAGATTGGTAACACAAGTATGCGCGCACATATCATTGCATTGGCGGGATGTGAAGTGCCGTCCAGGAAACGACGTTTGCATTCGCTAAGTTGAATGCCAACCGGCGGCGTCTTCGGAAGATAGTTCGATTGTACCAGTGCGAGACAGTAGATACCGACTTGATGTATGGAATCGACAGTCTGAAGTACTCGAGACATCCAGTGAAACAACTGTAAGAAAAACCTTTTTTACCTTCTATACCTTTCCCTAACTCGTTGAAGCTGAATATACGAAAGCGTAACACGTCCCAGGCACATTTTCACTCCAATAAATATGGCGTATGCAGGTTGAACGTGTTAAGCTTTCGTATTCAGCTCTTTTTATTTAAAAATAATGTCATGGGCATTTGAGCTAAAATACCAAGAAAATAATATATTTACTAGGTATTTTAATTATTTATTTGATACATATTAAGATTTGATACATATTAAGAGATACGAAGTGTTGATGTTATAAAACATTTTACATTGTATATTAAAATAAAGAAAAGAAATATTAGTGTATTAGAGAGTTATATTTGAAAACATTAAATCGAATACATAATACACCAAATAGCTTTAATCAAATATTAAATCTTTCATTTATATGCGAGATTAAAGTGTGCTTACGTATTAAGAACATACGAGTATATTATAGTAACGATTACATTTGGTTATTGGGTTACATTTGGTTATTGGGTTACATTTGGTTATTGGGTTACATTTGGCTACCATATACCATCGATATATTTTAAACAAAACCTTGCATGCTTTCTACTTGTTGCTTCAAAGCATGCGAGCTTTTGAAGTGCTTTATTTAATAAGCTTGCTTTGTTTTGAGAAACCTGGACTAAGAAATACGTTATCGTACTTGCTACTACTCCTACTAGGTAGTGATTAAATATATTTATTAGTTATTAAATCTACAATATGTAAACAAACCTCTGACCAATGCATTAGGGCCACATATTTTTATAATTACAAAAAGAATAATACATAATTATACTAATAAATATAAAAATGATATTATCATTTAAAATACATGTTTTTTGCACAACAATTCGCTGCACATTTAGCAAATTATGAAAATCTGACAACAGTTTTTGGAAATGTAGCGGTATTGTTACCCGACGGATAACTGCGCTGCAAGCATTGCTATATAAGTTTCACCATTTAATAGAATTTTATTTTATAAAATTCTGGAGAATATATTTTTTTACTGAAAAGAATCACATAAACAGAACATAGGAGGATCGGACAGGGTTTAATTTACATATCGTATGAAAAAGAAACATACATCGTATGTATTCGATACATTGACAAATTTCATTAAAATATTTATAGCGAATTAGTGTCAGTAGAGTCATCATCGCTACTTTCGACGTCTTGGAGTCTTATTTGCAAAAATGGTCTACGGAATAAATAACGTGGATGAATGTTATCACGGTTTCTAGGATTAACTATGAGCAATTCGTCGTCACTCTCATAGTCAGGTAGTTCATTATCTCCATCTCGAATATTATTGTTAGGTAAATTATCAGGGGCACGGGGTGCTACATTTTGATAATTTCTATGCTCATTGGCAGCTCGAATGAAACATTTTGAATAACATTAGATATGCCATTACGATTGCCGTTGATCACCAATCTGTTGTTATAATTAAAATTAGGTGGATTATTTCTTTCACGGGATGTGCCATTATCTGGATTGCCTGCATTGACATCATTTCTGTCATTAGGAGCAACATCGCGTGCTTCGTTAGACGCGATATCCTGTTCATTGATACGTGCGTTATTGGGTTCATCATTTTGTGCCATTTGTAATGTATTGTCACCCGCAATATCTTGATTATTGCTTTCAGCGATATCGTTTTCGTCACCAACATTTTGTGTAATATATTTTGCATTGTTACTATCAATATGATCGGTACCAGGGATTTTATTTTGAGCGCTGCATCCAGCATAATTATTTAAATCTTCATTGCCGGCGGTATTATTTATATTGTTCTGCACAATGTTGTTAGCTTCATCTTTTTGTGTATTATTCTCTTCACGGTTAGTATTGGTATCATATGCTTCAGTGATGACGGTCTCATAACCATCGTTACGTGCAGTTGTAGGACCCAGTTTAATGTCTTTATCCTCTTTATTACAAACTTTTGTGTTAGTAATATTAGTAGCATTAGCGCTCTTAACAGCGGCCTTAGTATCTGAAAAAGAAAATAGGTTAGTGTCATAGTGACGAGTTGAAAATCTAGTTTAGATACATATTTACCTTTTTCTCGGTGAAGATCCACAGCTAATAATATTTTTTCTATGTTCAAATCATACATTTACATACATCTCTTACACAAACGTGTATTTTAATGCGATAGTTAGATGTCATTTTTTGCTTTACTGGCCTTCTTTTACATTCTAATTTTAAGTTAGGAACCCCTATCAATACTTCTTAACTTTCACTTTGCATGCTGAAATATGTCTAACGGACTATTATTTAGAATATTAAAAAAATAATGTTTTTTAAAAATACGTCGCCAGCTCTTTATATTTAGTCATTTTAAAATGTGTAGTTTTTATTCATAAACATAAGTATGAAATTCACAATCTCTTCAAATCTTTTTTAATACGACTCGAAACTAACCTCCTCCTCTCCAGAATCGGGACGCTGTTGAGCTACAATATATATTCGCTCATCACGCGGTTCCCTCACGGCAAACACGACATTGCGTCCTCGATTTATGAATTTCATCAATTCTAATGCGAGAAATTGATTTGAGATCTGTAAATAGCGAAAAGTAAAAAAAAAATTACAACTCGACATTAGTTTACTCTGCTTTTTCTGATTCGATCTTTTTTTTTCTTTTATTATTTATAATAAATAGTAAAATAAATACTCGCAACGCCAAGACGCGCCAGATGGAGAATGCTTCAAGAACTTAAGGCGTCCAGGGAGCAGTGTGAACTGTTGCTTAAGGAAAGGGATGATAATAAAAAGGAAACAGTTGGCATAATTACTAAAAATACACAATTGAAATGTGATATGCTTAAGTTACATACGGATAACACAAGTGTTATAAAAGAAAGAGATCAGCTACAGGGAATGGTTATTGGGTTTGACCAATGCAGCACGAAATATGAGGAAGTTCTCAGGTTTATTGCTGCATTGAAGTTACAGTTGAATGAGTTTAATGAGCAAATAGCACAATTTAAATCATTCATAGATATCATAAAAGCCTCCCAGACTCAAAGCCTGTTCTCTGAGCTTGTGCAATGTAATAATTCTAAAATATTACAGCAATCTGCAATAATAGATTTGACAGGTGACCGCTCTTCCACTTCAGGAAAAGCAGTAAGGATTAATTGCAGTAAAACCAAATTGAAGAAATATATAAAAGGTAATAAATACATGAAGAAAATACAAAAATTAATAAAAATAAGATTGATACCAAAAATTATGTTTATGTATGTAAAGAAAAGCAAGCATTGGTATATGAACTTGAATTGTATCCAATTAAGGTGGATAACATTAAAAAATGTTATGAGACTGACGTAGAGTGCCTTAAATCAGAAATTATACTTATTTTTTAACTCCCTTCAAACTGTGTCCAATAAATATAAATCAGCCCAAAATGAAATAAAAGAACACATACTGGCTATGGATAATCTGGTAAAGAGATGTAAATATAATGAAGAGCGTTTTGACTCCTTAGTAAAACATCAATGTGAGTGTCAGCGGTCAATACCAGCTTCTACAGAGTCGGAGATAATATTATTATATAACCACCATAGCTCTACGACAGTACCATAGGAGAGGAGATAAAAATAAAAATAATTCAAACATAATCTAAAATAATATAACTGTGTATAGCGATGGCATGGGAAAAATGTTTGGCATAATTTTAAATAATACGTATAGAGACAAATATTGTAAAGTGCTGCATGCCTGGTCATCTTTTAATGACATCCTAAATAAAATAATAGTTACAAAATTTTGCCCAACTAGTACAAGTAGTAGTAGTTTTGTTGGTAGAAGACGCAGAGTGAATGAATGAATGAATGAATTTCTTTATTTTGCAAATATGGGTGATACAAAATGTGGTGACAATTATATAGTATAGATTCCACCATATTTTACCAGAAGGCATGCAAAAATATTTTTTTTTATCAATTTACGTAGATATGTCATTCACGACACAATATAACATTAGATTAACAAAATTAAAAAAGTCTTCAAATTATATGTAAGTCTAGTCAATCGGTACATTATTATCACTATTATTTAATTATTCATTCCATCGTCAAATTAATTAAATTAATAATAATACAATTTATTAATAAATATTCACTTACACACTTTAACACAACATTTTGTCTATCAAAAATTCATTGATATTATAGTACACCTTGTCTGCTAACAAGTTTCGTAGCCTTGTCTTAAATAATGAAGTGTTGAGATCCCTTCAACACTTGGGTAATGTGTTGTAAACAGCCGGCCCCATACAGCAGACACTGTTGCGTATTAGTGCTGTTTTTCCCTTAGGAATATAAACTCTACTATTGTCGCGTCTGTTTCTTGGGGCAATGTCTGCCAGGCACTTAAAACGGTTCTGGTTCGACTTTACAAATACTGCTATCTCTAATATATATATACAAGTTAGAGTTAATATTTTATATTTTTTTTAAATATGGCTTACATCTATCGGTACTCTTCAGCTTAAACATGGGGCGTATACACCTTTTTTGGCGTAAATACCTTTCCTTGTTCACAAGAGTTACCCCAAAATATTACACCATATCGTAGGTATGTTGCTACCGTACCATAATACGCAGTAAGGAGTCCATCCGTACAAATTATAGAAGACAATATGCCTAGAGCATAAGCAGATTTACTTATATTTTTGCAAAGAGTCCTAATGTGCGATTTCCAATTCAATTTTTCATCAATTTCCAGCCCCAAAAATCTCGTGCTTTCGACTTCGTCAATGTTGTAGTTATTATATTGTATTATGAGTTTACTATTATTGTGTTTGCGTTGACTGAAATGTATAACCTTTGTTTTGCTTAAATTTATTATTAAATTATTGTGATCTAGCCACTTTATAATTGTTTTTAGGGAATTGTTTATGTCATATTCGTATGTATTTATATTTTTACAAGGTACTTTTATGGTGCTGTCATCTGCAAAAAGCGTCAAATTTTGTTTTGCGTATTTAGGTAGCTCATTAATATACAATATAAATAGTAACGGTCCCAGGACACTCCCTTGCGGAACTCCAAAGCTGACTTTACGTTCCGATGATCGAAATGTCTCTTCGTATTTATTAACTTTATTAAAATTCTTAATTTTAGTTATTTGTATTCTATTCTTAAGGTAAGATTCTATAAGGTTAAGTACCTCTGATGCCATAGGCGTGTTGTTTATATAAGAGTGTAGGGTAGTGAACATAATCAAACGCCTGGGTCATATCACAAAATATGGCACAAACTGGTGTTCTTGTGTCCATATTATTAAGAATATTGTGTACAAAGTCGTATATTGCCATATTTATTATTTTACGCTGCCTAAATCCTTTCTGTTCCTCACACAATATGTTATGTTTTTCTACATATTTATATAATTTATTGTAAATGTACTTTTCAATTATTTTTGAAATTATGGGAATGAGTGAAATTGGTCTATAGTTTTCAATTAACTCTCTATTTTTTTTTTCTTAAATAATGGTTTTATTATAGAGATTTTTAAGGCATCTGGATATATGCCAGCACAAATGCAAAGATTAATTATATAAGTCAGGTGTTCACATATCTCATTAGCAACATATTTAATTACCTTTGTACAAATGTCATCATAACCTACACTGCATGTGAGTAAACAACAAACAGTTCTTAAAACATACTGAACAACTTAATAACTTAAATGTACACAAAATTGTCTTGTTACACTGCCTTATGTACAAGGATTGCTACAGGGAAATAAGCTAAGACATAACTTAAATTTACAAATGAAAAATTTTATATGTAATAATAATTTAACACTTTCACTGTCCGGTTTTCAAACACAATAGTAAGAGAATAGCAATGACCTTATATGTAGTGCACAGGACAGCGAAAGGGTTAAATTTGGCATATTATTATTGTAATGATAATAATGACAATTTGCATTTGATTGACATAAATAACGTAATTAAGAAGTTTTTGACAAAAGATTGATATAACCTATCCAAATGTCATTTAAGGCTGGTAGCAAATATGCTATCTTCTTTTAACATTTTAAATTAGCCAAGTTTTTGGCTACCAAGAATGCTTCTATTGAGCAGTGTAATCGTTTGACATTTAATTTGTAATCAGCTCCAACTAATTTAAATCAGTGAATCCGACAATAGAGACAATCTCTAGCAATAATAAGAATTTGATTAATTTAGAATGCAGCCCACAAATAATTTATAAGAATTATTTACACCTGGTGTATACCATACACATGTACACCATAGCCTTAAGTAAAATTGAATTCTTACAACCATTTGATGCTTTCCATCATGATTTACAATTGAATTATATGTAAGGATGAGAATGAGATAAAATATAATGTTATGATATTATTATCTAAGTAAATGTTTTCGTGATATCCCTTGCAAATTTTTATTGTTTGTATTTTGCGGTATAACAAAGGAGTTGACTCACTATTAGTATTAATTACGCATATGTTATAGCTATTTATGTAACGGAATCTTTTAATGTAATTTCCACCAACTTGTAGACGGCCGATTTACTTGAAAATTTGCATTTCTGCATCATGGACCGATGACAATATAATAATTTAATAACTTTATCTTAGTATCCTGACCAGGATCACCAGGGTATTTCTCTCTAGAATCATCACAGGTTTTCTTACATTTTAACTTTTTTTTGCGATGCGCGTTTAAAGATATGTTTATTTATCGTAGTAAACTTGTTAGTAAGATGGTGTTTTGTTTCTTTTAAAATAAAAACAGTAACTAAAAAGTACGTTTATTCATAATTCAGATAAAATCACAATTGTAAAAGTAGTTATAAAATCACCTTAGACAGCTCTTTGGCGACGAATACACAGTTCAAAAGTAATATCTTAAAATTCTTATTATTATCGAAGTGATTGCCCAAAATTTTATTTTTTTTGTGCGTTGCGTTATAAAATGAGAAAGTTAATACAAGTATCAACAATATTTCACACAGATCCAGAATACAATAAAACAAAACTTTCTCTACACTTGTTTGAAAATTGATGATTTCTAATGAAAAGTGTTGTACGTGCATAGTAATAACGTCGCATTTTATTTTTATTATAGGTCAACAA